CCAATCTGTTCTCTGTATCCATGAACTTGGATTTCTTGCCTGTTTGTTTTTTAGATTCTACATATAAGTGAGATCATATAGTATTTGGTTCTCTCCGTCTGATTTATTTAAGTTAGAATAAGGCCCTCAAGGCCTAGCCATGTTGTTGAAAACGGCAAGATTTCATTCTTTTTTGTTGCTGAATAGTACTCCATTGTGTGTGTGTGCGCGCGGTGCACACACACACACCCACACACCCACATCTTCTTTATCCATTCACCCATCGATGGACACAGACTGTTTCTTTATCTTGGCTATTGTAAATAATGCTGCAGTGAACTTGGGGTGCATGTATCTTTTCAAATTAGTGTTTTCATTTTCTTTGGATATATACCCAGAAGCGGAATTGCTGGATCGTATGGTAGTTCTATTTTTAATTTTTTGAGGAACCTCCATACTGTTTTCTGCAGTGGCTGCACCAATTTACATTCCCACCAACAGTGCACAAGGGTTCCCTTTTCTCCACATCCTTGCCACTTCTAACAGGTGTGAAGTGATAGCTCACTGTAGTTTTGATTTGCATTTTCCTGATGATCAGTGATGCTGAGCATCTTTTCTTGTACGTTTTGGACATCTGTGTCTTCTTTGGAAAAAAACATCTACTCAGATCATCTGCCCATTTTTCAAATCTGATTGCTTGGTTTTTGTTGTTTTTGTTTGTTTGCCATTGAGTTGTATGAGTTCTTTATATATGTTGGATATTAACCCATTACCATTATTACATAATTTACAAATATTTTATCCCATTCAATAGGCTTCCTTTTTCATTTTGTTGAGGTTTCCCCTTTGCTGTGTGGAAGCTCTTTAGTTTTATGTACTTGCACTTATTTATTTTTGCTTTTGTTGCTTTTGCTTTTAGAGCCTGCATTTCCTTTTTTTTTTTTAAGTCTCCAGATTCTATAATAAAATTACCTTTGTTTCCCCCCATTCTTGTTCTTTGTTATTTGTGCCTTCTCTCACTTACCTGGATCAGCCTTACTAGAACTAGTTTTGATCAAGCTTTGTTGATTCTCCTTACATGCAATGTTTGTTTTATGTCATTCATTTCTAATCTTAACTTCCATTGATCTTAATTAAAAAGGTTTAAGGTTATGCATTTGCTTTAGCTCTCTCACATAAGTTTTTAATCGTACTACTTTCATTATCAGTCCAAGCTTACTTTGATTATGATTTTTCCTGTCTCAATATTTATTTTAAAATGAATTTCTTAAGTTTCAGATATATGTGGCTTTTCCAGTTATCATTCTGTTACTTATTCCTAGCATAATAGCATTTGGTTTAGAAAACATGCTGCTTATGATTTCAATATTTTGAAATAAATTGAAATTTGATTTATGGCCCAGGTTATGGTCATTTTTTGGCAGGGGAGTATTAGAAGTGTCATGAGAGCTTGAAAAAAAGTATATTCTCCAGTAGCTAGGTGCAGTGATTTACATACGTTCTTTGGTCAATTGGGTACATCATGGTCTTTTATAGTTTCACTGACTTTTTTCTTCGACTTATACAACAGAAATTTATTTTCTTAAACTTCTGAAGGGTTAAAGGCTGAGATCAGGATATTTACAGGGTTGGTTCCTTCTCAAGCCTCTCTCCTTGGCTTGTAGATGGCTGCTTCTTCCTATGGTCTCACTGATTTCTGTCTGCTTGTTCTATTAATTACTAAGAGATGTTTTGCTCATACTATACCCATTCTTCCCCATTTTTAAATGATTATATCCACTTTGTTAGGTCATACAGTCATTTGCATACTACCTTTCTCCCACAAGGAGAAAATTCACCCACAAAACTCTTTTGTATGTTAAGATGTTAAATATATAGGTTTTCCAGTTCTGTTCCCTCCCTCACTTTTATTTGGACCTCCTCTTTTCCCCGTTACCCCTGTTCTGCTCAATTTTGATAGTAGTTTCTCCTCAGTGTGGGACTCTGTTCTGGAAGAGAGTCATGGCTGGGCAGCTTTTAGAGTAGATAAGACCTAGACTGCTCCAACCCCTGGTGGCCTTACCAAGTGCAGCTGGCACGCACTCACTTTTGAAGAGGACAATTGTGCTACTCATCCGGTTTCCACTGCTGTTCCCAGATGAGCCCACCACACTTTCCAGTGAATACCTGCTGGCTATTTCGGCTGTTTTGGGGTCCATCTGTTTGTAAATAAAACAGGTCTTTCACCACAGAGCTTGAGAAGCACTGATGAAGGAATCAGAGAGGGAAGAGCTGAGTGTTAAGAAGGCTTCCTGGAAGAAGAGCCATGGCTCTGAGGCCATAAAGGGCAGTCAAGGTAGGAATCAATGTTGACATTCCCCAGGGCTCTGCCCTTGGCCTCATCTCAGTTTCTCTGGGGGAGCTCATCCATTCCCATGCCTTCAAACATCACCTTCAAGGAAAACATTCCCCAAGGTCTACGTCTTCAGCTCAGGAATCCTTTTAACATGAGACTTGCAGAGACACCTGGAGGTCCCACAGGCATAACAAATTCAGCATAGATCAAACTGAGCATCTGTCTTACCCCCAAACTTTGTCACAGCATCTCACAAGTTGTGATACGTTGTGTTTTCATTTTATTTCAAAATATTTTTCTAATTTATCTTTACTTTTTTGTTGTTTGACCTGTAAGTTTTTCAGAAGTACACTGTTAAATTTCCAAATACTTTGGAATTTTTGACATATTTTTATGTTATTGATTTCTAGTTAATTCCATGAACATACTTTTATAGTGCCTTTCCTTTTAATTATATTGAGACTTATTTTGAACCCCAAATATAATCTCTTGGTGAATGTTCTATGTGCACTTGAAAAAAAGTGCATATTCTGCTGCAGTGTTCTACAAATGTCAACTAGGTCAAGCCGGTTGGTAGTGTTATCCACATCTTTTACATCCTTACTGATTCTCTGTCTACTCATTTTATCAATTACTAAGAGAGGAATGAGGAGTCTGTGGAGTCTGTTTCTTGTCTATTTTGTTCCGTTGATCTACTCATGTATCTCTGCCCCAGTATCACATTGTTTTAACTAGTATGACTTTGATCACTTTGATATTATTTCTAAGGCAAACTCTCTCCCTTCCCCACAATTAATTTTCCTTTTCAAAAATACCTTGGTTCTTTGCATGCATTTACTATTCATTTAGGATAAGAGCATCAACTGGTCAAGTTCTTGGTAAGTTTAATCTCAAATATTTTATACATTTTATAAAATATATGTTATATGTCCCCGTTGCTCAGAGATCTTTTCCTATTAAAGGCAGATAACAGGAGTTGACCAGCTTTTTCTTTAAAGGGCCAGATGATAAATATTTCAGACTTTACGGGCCATATGATCTCGGCAACTTCTAACCTTGCCTTTGCCATTGTCGCACAATAGCAGCTACAGACAACATGTAAAGAAATGGCCATAACATTTTATTTATAAAAACAAGTGATGGGTCAGATTTGGCCTGCAGACCATAGTTTGCTGACCCCGGATATAGAGAAAGATTAGTTTTTGGCACATAGGTATCTTTTCTCCAGACTCCACAATGAATTTCTAATATTACACTTTAGCTGAGTCTACTATTTCTATGTGGGCAAAATATACAAACAAAAGACCATTGTGTTCTAATTTTCTAATATTTATACCAATCATTCCTTTTCGTAGTCTTACTGTCTAGATAATGCTAGCGCAGTACTCAGCTATAGTGCTAACAGGAGGTACTGTTTTGTTAATCGGAAGGCCCCATTTTTTCAACTCCAAATATGCTGCTATTAGCGTCCAAAAAGTGTTCAAGTTTCAGATATGATGGCTGCATTCAGTATCTTTAAAGATTCCTTCTAATTTAAATTGTTTCATTATGAGGTCATTACTTATTGCTTTTTGATTGTGGCTGTAAATAAACTGAGAACTCCACCAAGCAATCCAGCACCCCCACTGAATACCACTCACCTGCTTTTACTTACTGAATACTTTCCAATCTTCTGGCTCAATTACTTGAACCTCAAGATAACATAGAAGAAAATTAATTCTTCCCAGGTATTAAGAAAAATTAAGTAGGAAATGAAACTTATTTGTTTTAGAGTTATTTAAGGTATTTTCCTTTGAGATTTTTCAATAAAAATAAATCACTGAAATGACCTTTGGGTAAGAATTTTAAACTTAATTGAACATTCAATAGTGTTCTAGACAGATTGGGGGTGAGAGGTCCAAAGAAAAAGAAATTATTAAGACTTATATGAGAATAAAACCTACAATGTTTATTTCTGAAAAGTTTGGGTCCAACATATAAGTCCAACTTCAAAAATATATATTTAAAGTTGAAAGCTAACATATGCATATATGCTTATATTTAAATATTTTTAAAATTCCTCTAAATAAGCGTTCATATACTCACAAAGGTATCAATGGGAACATTCATATCCTAGGCAAAAATTGATTTATTGTTGATATGAAACTTAGTGTTTCAATTAGTCAAACATTTTCAGTTTGGAATTTGCTTTCCAAAAATGAAATAAAAACAAATGCAATCAATATTTCCATATATACTTATTTAATTTACCTGAAAAACTAAAAATTAGTCCAGCTATAAAAATATGAGGCACACATTAAAGAAGAGACATGTTTACTACCAAGAATTGTGGAATAATTCTTTGCAAGAACACTTCAAGGCCCAAATAATAAAAATACTTCAGGCAATATATAGTAAATCTTTTAATTTAAATAATAGTATAGAGTCCTTCTCAGAAATATTATTGTACATTATATCTGTTATTTTACAGTAATTGAGAGTAAATAAAATTAGTAATACAAATATTTAAAGCCAATCATCAGAATTAACATTTATTTATATAAACCATGTAAA